AAGGACAAGCCGTTCACAAGCAAGATGCCCGTGCAGGGTGGCTCCGTTCTAGATGTAGAGGGGATGGAAAAGGAGGGCCTTCTCCGAATGCCCCCCATGGAGACATTAGTTGCCGCGCACTTGCAACCGAAGCGCACGGCGGCTGCAAATCCGACGCTGCCATCTAAAGCTGACCGTTTCCAGTCAAGCATGACGGAACGCGCTTACAAAGCAGTCGCGCTCTCTGTAAGGGCTATGAACGCGATCTCTCTGCTGACTGCATACCAAGCGGAGCTGCAGGACGAAGTGACTACCATGCCAGGTCAGACACACTGGGAAGAGATCTGTGTTGTAACGGATCTCTCTCTGCGTCTTCAGAGATGCGCGGTTCAAGCCGCCGGGAAAGCCATGGCCACAATGGTTATCCAGGAGAGAGCTCGATGGCTTAATCTCGCTAATCTCTCTGACAGGGAAAAAGAAGCCATCCTAGACGCACCGGTAGTTGCAGATGGCATTTTCGGCTCAGCTTTGACACTGATGCAAAAGAGATGCGAAGAGAAAAAGAGGGATGATGAGGCCCTGCAGCTCTGTATGCCGAGAAAGACGCAGACTGCACCACCTCCGCCACCCCGACAGACTTCGCACAGGCCACGGCCCGCCCACCCCCCAACTTTCGCATTCCGAAACGGCAGAGACCTAACGTGAATGCAGCGGGTCAGAGCGGAGCACAGGAACAGAGAACTGCCTGGCCTAGGAAGAACTATCCGCCTGCAGCAGCTCAGACGGTCCAGTCAGCCCCTCAACCTCATCCTCATCCTCATCCCCATCTTCAGGGAGTGAGGAGGAAGAAGAAGACGGTTTGACAGGGTCTTCACCAGGGAAGGGAGTCAACAGCCCCCCAGTTCGCTAACTCCCGACCCTCACATGTTCAGCGTTCGTCAAATCACGAGTTCCACTGTTCACAGATGTTCTGTGGGGAAAACAGCGCCCGGTTGGGCCAGGGGAAGCAGAGTGGTGAAAAAGAAAAGAAACGGTGCAGTGGTGCACACCAACCCACTAGTCACAAGCACTTTTCATGTACAAAATTCAATAAAGTTTTCACTGTACCCAACAAAAGGGCGATAAGAGTGGTACCACCCGAGAAAAGCCACAGTGGGTTTTACTCGAGGTACTTTCTAGTCCCAAAGAAAGGGACTCGTGCCCTTCGTCCCATATTAGATCTACGTGCACTGAACAAATACTTAAGAAAGTACAAGTTCAGAATGCTCACTCATTCTACACTCCTGAAACTGGTGCGCCCAGGCGATTGGTTTACATCGATCGACCTGAAAGACGCATATTTTCACATAAAGATATACCCACCCCACAGGAAATTCCTGAGGTTTGCTTTCCTCGGAGTGACATACGAATACCTGGTTCTCCCATTTGGCATGTCTCTGAGTCCAAGAGTATTTATAAAATGTACAGAAGCGGCCCTGACCCCGCTCAGGGAAAAAGGCATCCGTCTCGCTATTTACATAGACGACTGGCTGGTGACAGCTCAGTCAGAACAGGAAGTGAGATATCACACAACCATGCTTCTGGAACACATACAGAAACTGGGCTTAAAACTAAACACCGAAAAGAGTGTTCTGATTCCCGCACAGTCCATAACGTATCTGGGGCTGTCACTGGACTCGGTGACCTTCAGAGCGCGACTGTCACGGGACAGGGTGGTAAAATTCACCCGATGCCTGAACGAATTTCAGAGGGGGAAAAATGTCTCTTTCCGCACATTCCTCAGATTATTGGGACTGATGGCCTCAGCCCTAATAGTTATTCCCTTAGGCAGACTATTCATGAGAGAATTTCAGCGCTGGGTAGCATCTCTGAGACTGGACCCATTAAGGCACTGCCGAAGGAGAGTGAGAGTGACGTCAGAGGCAGTCTTTGCACTGCGTCAGTGGAGACACCCAACCTTTCTGGTTCAAGGGGTACCCATGGGCGTGGTTCAGGCCAGAAAAGTCATAACGACGGACTCGTGGCTGTACGGATGGGGGGGCATCTACGAGGGCAGGATAGTGAATGGAAGATGGGGTCAATCTTCACATAAACTATCTGGAAATGCTGGCCGTGTTTCTGACAGTGAAGCATTTTCTCCCTTTTCTGAAAGGGCATCATGTTCTCGTGAGAACGGACAACACTACAGTTGTGGCGTATATAAATCGACAGGGAGGCCTCAGATCACTTCCCTTACACATGCTGGCACGCAAACTGATTTTGTGGAGCAATGCCAATCTTTCATCCCTGAGAGCGACGCACGTACAGGGTGTCATGAACCGGGGTGCGGATCTGCTGTCCAGAGGCAATCCACTTTACGGGGAAATTGAACAAGGAAGTGGTCGAACAAATCTGGGAAATATACGGCAGAGCGACAGTGGATCTGTTCGCGTCGCACGACAATGCTCAGTGTCCTCTGTTTTTCTCCCTGAAAGATCAGAGCGCGCCTCTGGGGATAGATGCACTGGCACACGATTGGCCTCGCACTCTCCTCTATGCGTTCCCACCGATAGCATTAATATCCCCAACACTCTACAGAGTGAGGGAGGAGGGACTAAAGCTCATATTAATAGCTCCGAGGTGGCCGGGGAAATACTGGCTGGCGGAGATCATACATATGCTGTACGAAGACCCCTGGTCTCTCCCGTTACGCAGAGATCTACTGTCACAAGCAGGGGGGGAGATCTTTCATCCCCACCCAGAACGATTGGCACTATGGGCCTGGCCAGTGAGTGGTTCAATTTGAACATGACCGGTCTATCTGACAATGTTATCAGAACCATACAGAATGCTAGAGCTTCGTCGACTAGGTCACTCTATGAATGCAAATGGGGCGTGTTTGAGCGCTGGTGCGCGGCTAAGCACGAGATTCCCTTTCAGTGTTCAGTGGCAGTTGTTCTATCATTCTTACAGGATTTGATAGACCAAGGGAAAGCATTTTCAACCATAAAAGTGTATTTGGCCGCTATTTCTGCTTGTCACATAGGGTTTGATAATAAAACCGTTGGGCAGCATCCTTTAGTATGCAGGTTCATGAAGGGCGCGCGTCACGCTTTACCAGTTTCAAAACCGCTTTCCCCTTCATGGGATTTAGCACTGGTACTTGATGCTCTTTCAATGTCCCCATTTGAGCCACTGGACGAGATCGATTTGAAAATATTGTCGTTTAAGACGGCGCTGCTGTTAGCCTTGGCTTCGGCGAAGCGCGTAAGTGAGATTCACGCACTTTCGGTGCATTCAGCATGTACACAGTTCATCCCCGGGGATGCAGGGGTGGTTTTGAGACCTAATCCTGCATTTATGCCCAAAATAGTTAATTCTATCTCTCCTTTGGAGTTAAGAGCTTTCTATCCACCACCTTTTGCTTCTTCAAAACAGCAAAAGCTAAATGAGTTGTGCCCAGTGCGTGCTTTACGCATTTACATTGAAAGAACCAAAGGGTTCCGGGAGTGTGATCAGCTGTTCGTATCTTGGGTGAAACCACGTAAGGGGAAGCCAATTACTAAGCAGCGTTTGTCGCACTGGATAGTGGAGGCGATTTCACTGGCATATTCCAGTAAGGGTCATGAGCCCCCAGCTGGTTTATGCGCACACTCAAAAAGGGGAATGTCAACTTCGTGGGCTCTTTTTAAAGGAGTCACGATACAGGATATTTGCGAAGCGGCGAGTTGGTCCTCGCCGCATACATACGCTAGGTTTTATAAACTGGATGTTACAGCTCAGACTTTAGCACATGCGGTATTGAGCGTTGGAGTTGAGTCATGACTCAAGACTCGTCCAGCCTGGAGGTGGTGCTGTGGTTGGCAGAGGACTTCGAGGCAGGTTATCTGGCAATACGGGAGTTAGGATATCCCATAGTGAGACACCGAAACGTATGCTTGAAAGAGAACAATAGGTTACTTGCGTAACCCCGGTTCTCTTGATAGCATTAAGTGAGGTGTCTCACCAGATCACCCTCCTTGCTGTGTGAAGCGAGGAAGAGGTGTGCTTGTTTTGAATGTCGTAATGACGTTGTGCTGCTCCTCTTATACGGAGGGGTGGGGTAGCCACTCCCAGACACAGCTCCATGTCTGCCAGCCAATTGGGGCTGGCGTAATGTAATAGGGCTTCTGAGGAAGGGGCGTATCCCATAGTGAGACACCTCACTTAATGCTATCAGAGAACCGGGGTTACGCAAGTAACCTATTGATCTCAGAAGGGTGCTCGCGAGCGCCCCCTCTGCGGTCGATTTGCGCCCTTGATGCGCACTTTTGCCGAGCCCGCGCTGATGCGGACTCCACAGCAGACTTCTTCCCGACATTCAAAGCGGCGTTACGTCGCGAAAGTGCGGACTCGAGTGCTTAGGGTTCCATTTGGGACAGGGCCTTACTCGAACATAATAACAGAGATGGAAAACCAACAAGAAAAGCAATGAGGGCCTCTAGTGGCCAAAAATAAGTCCATAACCCTGACAAATTGATGAACATTGACAGTTATTGTACTGAATTTAATCACCATTGAACTAAATTGAGCTGAATAATGACTTTAGTTGTCTTTTGTAGAGCAGCCAGCTTTATAACTCAAATTTGTTTCACAATTGATGAACTATGCAATACTGACACTGTTATTGAGCTGACTTGAGCTGGATGATGACACTATTGCCTTCTTTAGAACTGTTTCACAGCTTAAATTTAATTTGTTTCATAATTGATGAATTTTGCACCATTAAATTGTATTTTACAAGCTAATAATCTGCCAAATAACAATGTGTTGTATAAAGCGCTATATAAATAAATGTGACTTGACTATAAAATAAAGTGCTACCTTTTTTCTGTTTATAAAAAATCCTATATCCTGTATTTATAAAATTATATGTATGTAGAGGTAAATCTATCAACTAATGTGTCTACAAAAAGTGCTTTTTTCTATCATGGCAACATTTCCGGGACCAAGAGTCAATGCTTTTTAAAATACCATTGATATTTTGTGTTACTGTGTTTCAGAGCTCCAAGAGTCTGAGTCACCCATGTCCATGAATCAGGCAGACCGCCCTACTGTGTTCTCTGAGCTGACTGATTCCTCTGCTGGTAGTCTACTGTACTGGGCGTCCTGTGCCTGCAGCCTTACAGACATGGTGCAGGCACTGGCTCATGGAGCTGATGTCAACTGGGTCAATGGGGAAGACAGCAATCGGACTCCACTAATACAAGCCGTACAAGGGGTCAGTACTTGTGGGACAAATGACAATACATAAAGATGATCTAAAGGGATCTATAGGCATGCATGCAGTAGTTCGGTTAGAGTACTGTTAAACACTATAATGAACTTAAACTTCTACTGAATATGTCTTTATATATTTGTGTGTCCAGGGTTCTCTGATCACCTGTGAGTTCCTACTTCAAAATGCTGCCAGTGTGGACCAGCAGGACGTTCGTGGCAGAGGACCACTGCATCATGCCACCATACTGGGTCATACTGGGTAGTTATACATCTATAACTTTTCAAAAGCTTAAAAAAAAACATAATTATGATGCAAAATATATAATGCAGTAAATGTTTTAAAGGCACTCAACTAAATATTTACACACTCTTTTATTTAAAAAGTTAAGTGAAAGTGACACGTGTTGGCCAAGTATGGTAACCCATACTTGGAATTTGACCTCTGCATTTAACCCATCCAAGTAAGTGCACACACATTAGGAGCAGAGTAGTGAGTAGTGAACACACACACTGCAAACGTGGATACACACACCCGGAGCAGCGGGCAGCCTTGAGTGGCGCCCGGGGAGCGATTGGGGGTTAGGTGCCTTGCTCAAGGACACCTCAGTCATATTCCTGCCGGTACTGGAATCGAACCAGCAACCTTTGGGTCACCAGTCCAACTCTGTTACCATTAGGCCATGACTGCCCTTAAACTACCCATGACTGCCCTTAAATGACAAATATATACTTTACTGTTCAAACGTTTGGAATCACTATGATTTTTTTAAAATAAATGTATTCTTTTATTCTGCAAATATGCATTTGATTGATCATAAATTACAGTAAAGATATTGATAATGTTACAAAAGATTTCAAATAAATGCTGTTCTTTACATGTTCTGTTTATCAGAGAACCCAGAAAAATGAGACCATCCTATTTTCTAAACTACATTAAGCAGCACAACTATTTGCAACTGTTATAATGCACGTCCTTATTTTGCAGAGTTCCTGGGTCAACATATTTTGCTGATCCTGGAACAACAGTCCTGTCTGAAAATGTAATCATAACCATATCCCTACCCATAAGTAATCCCTAAAATTAGAGGGAAATGACAGATGAATAACACTGATGTAGAAGCACCTAACCCTGGTTGTAAGCCTAAACTTGACAAACTGTAAACTTGTCCCTCAAATCTGATTGGTTGATTGCAGTGTTGTTCCAGGATCAACAAAGATGTTACCGTTTATAACGTCCCCATTATAAAATGGCGTGCATAATAACGTTAAAAAAACCGCTTTGTCGCATAAGTTTTGTTGTTATCACTAAAAAATCTGCCCTTAATGCCGTTTCCATACATTATTTTGCATACAGTATATCGCAAATTAATATTATCTCTTTCGCATCCTAAAGATTTTTAAAATGCAGAGAGTAATGAGACAATTGAATTTTGCAGTTTACTGCTTACTATTTTCACGAATAATAGGTCTATTATTAAATTAGGACATTTAAGTAGCTTTTATTAACATGCCTTATAAAAAAAACATTACTGGTGTGCTTCTTGAGACAAAACCAAGGCACTGCCATATGTCAGTGCAAGTTGCTTTCAGTTAAAACAGCTCAAACATGCATTTTAGTCTGGGACTAGGCTTAAGCCTTGTCTGTGATACCGGACACTAGAGTTATGGCTGGATTGCATTTGAGACTGCAGCGACAGCACATGGATACTGAAATGAGTCCCAGTCACATTACATTTTTATTACATTTTTAATTTGGATCTTGAAGTGCTGGTACTTTTTACATCTCATATAAATAAATAGATAAAAAACAAAACTACAAATAAAAACTATATGATCAATTAATTGAATCTATTGACTGCCCTAATTTGCTATGTTTTTATTTTTTATTTTATCTTATTAAAATAACTTACAGTCTTTTCCTGTGTTGATGTGGTGTCAGTCAAGTGTGTCTGTTCCTAAAACGAGGGGCCAAGCAAAACACTGTGGACGCTGATAACAGAAGTCCGCTGTCCATTGCAGTGGAGGCCGCCAATGCAGACATTGTCACTCTGTACGTCTCACACCATAAACTGCTTCCTGCTTCTTTATCAAAGAATAAAAATGAAATAAAATCATGCCAATGTGTGATGGATCCTAACTTAAAATATTGTTTTTCTATCCTTCGACTCTAAGGTTACGTTTGGCCAAGATGAACGAGGAGATGAGAGAGTCTGAGGGAGCTCTTGGCCAGTCAGGTCAATACCCTCACCCTCAGAGTCACACCGAGCAACAGTATAAAAAATGCATTCAAGAATTTATAACTTTACAATTACAGGAGTCATAAACTTTCGCTCTCCATCAGCATCAAAACAGATCTTCTGCAGACCACATAACACTGGTTGCCACAGCTGATGTGGATAGGAATGTTACTATTGTAGACTGGACAAGCATCTTTTAGTTTTCATCTTTTAGTCTTTGTAGCATCCAAGCCATATTTATTTATTATATGTTTCTGAAACCACATGTGTGACATCACTTGCCAGCCATTAGCCACCAGGCAGCACTCTCTTATTACAAAAATGCAAATATTGATGGTTGATGCAAATCAGATCTGAGGGGGCACAACCCTTTTGCCCCCTTGTGGCACCGGCCCTGCTCCTGTGACACACGTCACACTCAGACAGTTTGTTTTGCAAACACATGCGGCTTCTGAAGACAAAGCTGGCATGTCTATGCGACATATCTATTTATAGTTTCAGTAATGTATTACGCCGCGTCACTATGTCATCACGTTCAGCCAATCACAGACTGGCGTGTGTAAACACGTGCTTTTGACAACGGAACATGCCCGTGCGTCAAACCATGGCTTTGAGTTCCATTCAGAATGGAACCACTGAAATGTGGTCATATTCAGAATCGGAATAATCTGAATTTGATTTATAAAGATTTAAAAATATTAATCAATATTCTGTTTCATGTAAATAATTAATTTGAAGAACCCACAGTTCATATACACTCACTGGACACTTTTTTAGGTACATCTTTCTAGTAGTCATGATAGCATCACGCAGTTGCTGTAGATTTGTCAGCTGCACATCCATGATGCGAATCTCCCTTTCCACCACATCCCAAAGCTGCTCTATCAGATTGAGATCTGGAGACTGTGGAGGCCATTTGAGTTTAGTGAACTCATTATCATGCTCAAGAAACCAGTTTGAGATAATTTGAGCTTTGTGGTCCATGGTTTCATGTTTTTTAGGCCAAATTTGTACCCTAACATCTGAATGTCACAGCAGAAATCGAGACTCATGTAAATGTTTTTCCAATCTTCTATTGTCTAGTTTTGGTGAGCCTGTGTGAATTGTAGCCTCATGTTCTCAGCTGACAGGAGTGACACCGGTGTGTTTCTTCTGCTGCTGTTGCCCATCAGCTTCAAGCTTTGACAAGTTGTGCGTTCAGAGATGCTCTTCTGCAGACCTCAGTTGTAACAAGTGGTTATTTGAGTTACTGTTACCTTTCTATCAGCTCAAACCAGTCTGGCCATTCACCTCTGACCTCTGGCATCATCAAGGCATTTTCACCCACAGAACTGCCTCTCACTGGATATTTTCTCTTTTTCTGCCCATTCTCTGTAAACCCTACTGATGGTTGTGTGTGAAAATCCCAGTAGATCAGTAGTTTCTGAAATACTCAGACCAGCCCGCCTGGCACCAACTACCATGCCATGTTCAAAGTCACTTAAATCAAATTTCTTCCCCATTCTGATGCTCAGTTTGAACTTCAGCAGATCATATTGATCATGTCTACATGCCTAAATGAATTGAGTTGCTGCCATGTGATTGGCTGATTAGATATTTGCGTTAATGTGCAGTTGAACAGGTGTACCTAATAAAGTGAGGCCAGTGAGTGCGGGCAGATTAAAACATTGAAGAATACCTTGAAGAATACCTTGAAAAAGTCAAGCTATTGAAGAAAAAAATAATAAATGACTGTACAGAATTATTCAAATGAATTAAAAATTAATATATGTCTTTGTTTATTTGAATATGATTTTGGTACATACAGGAACATTACAGTAGCTATGAAGCATATATGGACATTACAACTAAAACAGTGTGCATGTAAACATGGTAATTTATTCATCTGAACACTGTACACTGTATTGGTTGAGTGCACTTTCATTTAGTTTATATACCTGTCATTTCCGTTCTGTTCCGAGAGTCTCCACTTGTATTATATTATTCAATGGATTGGATTTAATATGAAATGACGATGTGTCTCATGTCTTGTGAATGCTGGTTTAAAAACTACCTCATGCTATAAATATGTTTTTTAAGATTTCAAGGAAAGACACTTTTATCACCATTTCAGAAAATTCTGATTTATGTGCAAGGTCTTTGAAGATAAGTTACTCTTCCAGCATCTGCTACTATCTGAAATTAAACTAACCAGCATCAAATCCCAGTTGTTTTTCATGTGTTGTCAAAATAATAATAATAATTGCATCTTTAATGGGGCTAGGGGCTCTTCGCCAGGACAACAGAACCACTTCCGACTGCTCTATCGATTTCCGGACTCTGGCAGCCGAGTGCAAATGGAACGAGGAGGCGCAGTGGGACATGTTCCTGCATGGGTTGGCTGACCGTGTTCAAAGGGAGATATATACGTTGGAGCTACCCAAACGTCTCGATGGACTTATCGAACTGGCTCTGCACGTGGACGCGCGTCTTCAACAATGGGAGAATCGGCCACACCAGGCTCTTCCCTGAGTATTCCAGTCTCAGGGGTGAGAACACGGTCAGCCCCCTGATCGATCAAGAACCCATGCAGGTTGGTCGAGCTCGGCTTTCCCAGGAGGAGAGGGAACGTCGGAGAGCCCGAGGACTTTGCCTTTACTGCGGCGCGGCTGGACACTTCCGGAGGGGGTCCAGTCCGACATCATTCGGTGGGGTCATGGTTCCAATGTGGCGTGTCATCCAGGAGTTAGTCGTACCAGATTTTTGGTCAAACAACGATTCTGGTGGCCCTCTATGGCTTGTGATATTCGGGATTTTGTTTTGGCCTCCTCGGTTTGTGCCCGTGGCAAGACTTCCAATCAACCCCCAGAGGGGCTGCTTCAACCGCTGTCTGTCCCTTCGAGACCTTGGTCCCACATCGCGCTATATTTCGTCACGGGTCTCCCACCCTCCCAGGGCAGTACGGTCATTTTGACTGTAGTGGACCGGTTCTCGAACGCGGCACATTTTATTCCCTTTCCCAAACTACCCTTAGCCAAGGAGACAGCGGTTACTGTCGTAAATCACTTCTTTCACATCCATGGCCTCCCGACAGACGTGGTTTCCGACAGGGGGCCTCAATTTATCTCCAGATTTTGGAGAGTTTTGTCGGTTACTGGGGGCGAGTGTTAGTCTGTCGTCTGGATTCCATCCCCAGATTAACAGTCAGGCCGAGCGGGCCAACCAAGATTTAGAAAGAGTTTTACGATGTCTGGTGTCTCAGAATCCTTCCTCCTGGAGTCAGCAACTCTCTTGGGTTGAGTACGCTCATAACTCGTTACCAGTTTCGTCCACGGGCCTCTCTCCGTTTGAGTGGTCTAGGTAACCAGCCACCTATCTTTCCTAGTCTGGAATCCAAGGTCGCGGTCCCCTCTAGGGGTGTACTGTCACGGTTCATGGGTTCACTGACTCGCCCTCGCTCTGTGTGTTGGTGTGAGTGGGCGTGGCTCGTTATCACGGCTGATCAGCGCCAGCTGTTTTTAATTGAGAGTCCTATTTATTGTCTGATTTTGTCCTGTCTTTGTCAGATCGTTGTGAGGCTTCCTGGGATTCTCTGCCTAGCTCTGTGCCTTCTGGTTTTCCATTTGCCTGGCTCTTGTTGTTTCTCATTTTCCAGATTCCTGAGTTTCCTACTGGACCTGCGTGGACTTCATCCTGCCCATTGCGTTGCCAGTGTCTCTCCAGCTTTGACTCTTCATCTCTGACCATCACTGCTTGGGTTGATCATCTATTCTGTCTGTCAGCTGTCTGATCACTGATCGATTGCTCCTGTCTGCCTCGCTGCCTGCTGTGTGTTTGTTTGCTTCGAGGTTGTAAGCTCCGCCTGAGCCTCGTATTTCTTTATGATTTGAGCCATCATTTACTATCATTTCTAGTTGTTTATACTACTAAATACAGCTTACCCAACATCTCAGATTAACCTTACATCTCTAGCTTCCGTTATTGTTAACACAGCACGGTAGTAACTCGCTAACGTTAGCCTGCTAACGCACCACCCGTGTGCTCATTTATTTATTTATTTTCTCTCGCACGCCCGCACCTTTGAGTTCATAAAGTCCAGGTAAGTAAGAATCAGTCAACAAACACGATGAGTAATGTCTTCTTGTCCTGTTATTGTCACCTGTGTCGCGTGTCATATGTTTAGTATAGCCTTCTCCGATGGCAATATAGACCTTATTCGCAAACACCGGAAGTAGCTAACCGCGGCCATATTGTTGACATGACATCTGTCCTGCTGCCTCTAGCCGCGCGCAGATTTGAGTTGAGAGGAGCAGTAACGTTAGCCTAATGGCTTCATCTCGTCAGTATCAAGAGAAGATAAGCTTTATTGGTGTGGACCCACATCAAATAGACCCAATAGCATTAAGTAAAGATCCGTCCTTATTGCCAGCCGTAACTTATCCGGATATTTATAACTAGCTTATCTCGTTCATACAGTATCCGTATAAGTTACAAACTACAATTTACCTCAACAAGGCAACATAATGAACGACACTTGTCTCATTCGTATAGGTGGAAAAACAAGTTCTTTGTGACATGCAAGATTTGTTGTATTAAAATGTAAATGCAAAAGAAAAGGCATGAGAGTCCGTTGTTTTTGTCAATTTTAAGTTTTAATTTAAAATGTTTGCGATTTTAATATAAGTACATGGTTACATATTTGACCACTTGCTTGAGCAACTTAATATATAGAAGTAATGCATGGAATAATTGGCTTACGTTGTTAAAATAGTGAGTATGTGTTAAAATAAAAATAGTGAGTAACATTACCGGGGTGTTTGTGGTACAGCCGCGGATCAGTTACGCACTGCAAACGCAGCATATAAAGCACTATAGCGCGTCCTGCTTCTGTATACGCACCGCACACGCATTGCACACGGATTATGTGTGAAACCTGTGGTAAAATGATGGGAACAGACTTTTCTGTGGGGAGTTGGCTGAAAGTTTAGCCTATTTATCCTAGCTAGCCTCTCCTGCGCTGGCTCAACTCTGTCTCCTTCCCTTCACGTTTTCTGACAGTCGGTCAGAGATGCTCACAAGTCTCTGAGCTAGAGTCCAAGTCAAGTCTCAAGTCTCTGAGCTAGAGTCCAAGTCAAGTCTCAAGTCTTTGAGCTAGAGTCCAAGTCAAGTCTCAAGTCTCTGAGCTATAGTCCAAGTCAAGTCTCAAGTCTCTTGTGGTTATAAGTGTTGCATCACGTACAGCGACCCATCCAGGTTGCTTAGAACA